CAGCAGCCAAGCGCGCACGCCGGTGAGCGGAGCGTCGGGCGCCACTGCGATCTGGCAGCGGTCCTCTCCGCCGAAGGTCACGAAATGCACCGTGCCGGCATCGACAGAAGCCTGGAGGAGCAGCGTGGGCAACGGATGCGGCGCGTATGTCAGACCTTCCATCAGCGGCGGCAAGTCGCACTGGCCGTCGCCATCGAAGCCGCGCGCCAAAGCCGCCCCATCGCTCCTGAGCAGAACGGCGCGGTCCGATCCTGCCGCGACCTGGGCGCACCTCCGGCCTGCAGGCAGCGGCGGCACATTGCGCTGGCCGTCATTATGGGATCCGCACGACGCCGCCGCCCCGTCGCTCCTGAGCAGGGCCGCGTGGTCCGATCCTGCCGCGACCTGGGCGCGCCTCTGGCCTGGAGGCAGCGGCGGCGAGTCGCCCTTGCCGACGCGATTGGGGCCGCAAGCCACCGCCGTCCCGTCGCTCCTGAGCAGAACGTTGTGGGCCGATCCTGCCGCGACCGGGACGTGCGTCTGGCCTGCGTGCAGCGGTGGCAAGTCGCACTGGCCGCAACAAGTGCAGCCGTGCGCCGCCGCCGCCCCGTCGCTCCTGAGCAAAACGGTGCGTTCCGATCCTGCCGCGACCTGGGCGCACCTCTGGCCTGCAGGCAGCGGCGGCAAGTCGCACTTGCCGAAACGATTTCCGCCGCGTGCCACCGCCATCCCGTCGCTCATGAGCAGAACGGTGTGGTCCGATCCTGCTGCGACCTGGACGTCCCTCTGGCCTGCAGGCAGCGGCGGAAAGTTGCGCTGGCCGTCGCCATTGAAGCCGCGCGCCAAAGCCGCTCCGTCGCTCCTGAGCAGGGCGGCGTGGACCACCTGCCGCGACCTTGACGCACCTCTGGCCTGCAGGCAGCGGCGGCACATTGCACTGGCCGTCGCCATCGTTGCCGCAGGCCACCGCCGTCCCGTCGCTCCTGAGCAGAATGGTGTGACCAAGATCGCCCCATGTTCCTCCCGCAGCGACCATCCTGCGAGCGCGGCCAGCCGGCCGGTCCGCAGCTCGCCCGAGTGGGGGGGGCGGCCGTGCCCCGCGGAGGGCCCGGGCGCCTGCGCTGGAGCCGCGGCGCCCGCGGTGGAGCCCGTCGCCGCCGCCGTCGTCGTCGTCGTCGTCGTCGCCGCCGCCGCCGTCGCCGCAGCCGCCGTCGTCGTCGTCGTCGTCGTCGTCGTCGTCGTCGTCGTCGTCGTCGTCGTCTTGTAGCAGCCGCTGCTGCTGTTGATGCTGATGATGCTGCTGCTCCTCCTCCTCCGCCCCTTCTCCTCATAGATAACTTCCCCCTGTCGCACCAGCAGGCGTGGTTTTAGGGCGGGCCGGGCGTTTCGCTTGAGATCCCTTGCAATTTATCATCCTGAAGCTCGACATTTGCAACGGCTACAGAGATGGAGGGCGGTCGGAGCCCCTGGGAAAGCAGCTTTAGTAGTAGCGGCAAACGCCGTCCTCCTCCTTATCCTCATCGTCGCAGCGTGGAACGCGACGACGACGACGACGAGCTGGCGGCGACGACGACGAGATGGCGGCGACGACGGGGGCGACGACGACGCCCGAGGAGACCATGGCGCCAAAGACGACGAGAACGCAGACGGGGGCGACGACGACGACTAGGGAGCTCAACCGAATGCCCCCTCCTTACTCCTCCTTCTCCTCCTCCTCCTCCTCCAACAGGCTAATCTGTTCCCGGGCCTTTTTTCGAACGTGGGTCAAGCCGAGGTAATCGCAATCGGCAATCGCAAGCCGAGGTAATCGTAATCGGGCAACAGCCGGAGCCTTGGCATTGAGCAAGGGCGCGCAACACTTGCTACACGGAACGTTCCTACGCAACTGCACAGCAGCAGCAACTGCCAGGTCGGTGCAGAAAGCTGTTCAACATTGCTTCAACGGTTTCACCAGAATGGTGCGACCACAACCCCCCGCGGTCCTGGAGTCGCTCGAGCCACTTTTGGCGCGCAGGGACTGTGTCGAACAACCAGTTGTGCACAAATCGCCGCGAATGGTTCCCTTCCCGCAACTCGCAGATCTTGCAGCAGAAGCGCTGCAGTTGAACAATCGGCCGTCGCATGCGAGGAGGGGCGTGCTCGCAGCCGATCGGCGCGAGGCGGTCACCGAACTCGCTGCGAAGCAGAACGCAAGCAAACACCTCATTCGCTTTGCAGCTCTGGTAATAGCAGTGATCCGGAGCGCCTCTCCGCATATCAACAGCGCTCTCTGGCACGATGCGCTCCCCGTTAAAGAGTAAGGCGGTGATGACTTTGCCTCCACCCCAGGCTGTGGACCAGGACGTTCGCAGCAAGAGCTCCGCGTGGTCACCCCACTGAACCGGGAGTAGTTTCATTATCATGAGCAAGTAGAAGGGTCTCTGGAACGCGGTGACCTGGTACTTCGCGCACAAGTGCTGCAGCGTTTTGCTTGGTCCAGGTTGTACAACACTAGGACCCGTGGTAGTGGCGTCGTCGACTTCTGCCGGTACTGGCGCTGACGCGGATGGGCCAGGCTGAACAACATTGTCACTGGGACCATGGCCGTGACTCGCGGTGGGCCAGGCTGCGCAGCGCCGGCCTCCTTGCGCGAGCCCGGCAGGGTTACGCGGTATGTCAAGTATTCGATGCAATTGCTTGTCGGGCTGGCCTGTGCACTCCGCGACCGCGGTGTCTGTTGCCTGAGCAGTAGTGCCGCGCCACGGTTCCCGCCGGCACGCCCGCTGCATGGCCACTCCCTGACGCCATTGGCCCGAGCTATCTACAGGCCGTCCTCGGTAGTCCCTGGCGGCAAATGCTTCAGCACAACGCAGTAATTTCTGCCCGACCTTTGAGTCGCAAGCTTGGGCTGCATTTCGCGTCGCGGTTGTTATGAATATCTCGCTTGCAGAGCAAATGAGAGGCATCGTGGTCCTGCTATATCGTTCAAGAAGACACTGCAACACCAGTGCCGCTAGGTGGCGCGTTTGTAGTGTTTGCAGCGCGTCAGGGGAGTGCGTGCGCGCGCACAGCAAGCATGTGGTTAGCGCGGCGGGTCGTTAAACTCTCCTGGCTGGCATGGCAGGTTGTTGAACGCTGCCATCGGCAGAGTCCCGAGAACCAGGCTGTTCAGCACTGGTGGTTGATGCAGCACCAGCGCGCGCCTCGAGCCGAACCCGCCGAGGACGCACGAGTCTCCCAGCATCGGAGACCTGTGTGCGTCGCGTACGATTTTGCTCGATGAAATTCAACATTCGAGCCGAAACCGCTACGGTGTGCAGCGCAATACTGCTGTGGCGCGTAGCAAGACATGGCAAACTGTCAATGTTTTTTTGTGCGCGCGCGTGGAACAAGACATGGCAACCTGCATGCGTGCGCGCGTGCATGCGTGCTTTGGGGCTTCTTGGGGGCCTCTCAGGCCGTCTTGGGGCCATCTTGGGCTTCTTGGAACGCTCTCGGGCCGTCTTGGAAGCTTCCTGGGCCTTCTCAGGCGCATCTGAAGAGGAAGAGGGAGGAGGAGGAGAAAGAAGAGGAGGAGGAGCACCCGTGGACGGCGGCGGCACGCCGGGAAACCCCAGGGAGGAGGAGGAGGAGGGGGGGAGGAGGGAGGAGGGAGGGAGGAGGAGGAGGGAGGCAGCGCGTGAGAGTCATGCCGCAATGCTCCATCATGCCGCGGCCAACGCTATCGAGCGACCGCGGGCTGTGCAACATTACGCAGGGATCAGCGCCTCGCTGATCGGCCTCGGGCACGACGGCTGGCCCGTGCAGCACACTGTGCAGCGCTGCTGATCACGAGCTGTTCAGCGTCGTGATCCGAACCGTCAGCGGTCAGCACTGCGCGGTGTTCTGTGAGTGGTGCAGGTTGTGAAACACTGCACAGGGATCAGCGCCTCGCTGATCGGCTTCGGGCACGACGGCTAGTCCTTGCAGCGCGCTGCGCGGCGCTGCTGATCACAAGCTGCTCAGCATTGCGACCCGAACCGTCAGCGGTGCTTCTAAGGAACTCAGGCACTGGCGCCGCAGTGGGATGGCGCCCCAGTGCGCGACACTTTGAACCTTTCGCTGGGCTCTCCTGGCCCGTCGCGGGGTCGGAGGCGGCCCGCTTCCTGGAGGACATGTGCGCGGCGAGCGTGGTGAGGAAGAGCATTCGTTTGAGGCGGCCCTTTGCTGCGTCGACCTCCGCCTGCTACAACAGCTGCACGGAGTCCACTATGAAGGATGCAGGCTGTTCAGCGCTGCTCGCTTGAAGTACCGACGATATCAACACTAAGGCTGCCTGTTTCTTGTTCGCCTGCATGCGGGGCGGATCCAGCTTGGAATCCTGTAGATTCTCCTAGGTGCAAAAGGAGGTGAGCTGGGCGCCGGGGGCATCGTTCGCCTCACGCAGCAGGTCCTTAACGTTGTTTGTGGTGATCCTGTAGCCGCCGGCCCCCGCTTCTTGCAGGGTCGATGGCTGCGATGCCTCCGCGAGAGCAAGCGCCTGTGAGCAAGGGCGAAAGATCGTCGCGGCTGCGGCCACGTTCGCGAAACTGGCTTCCAAGGTCTCCGGAATATCTGGCACGATGCTCTCCGCTGCGAGCGTGTAATGCGGAGACTTCCGGAGCATGCGCAGAGCTGCGGGCATCGCGATGTCGGACGTGGTGTTCTCGGTATTGAGAAGGGGAAGCAGACGAGCCGATGCTTCAGTGGGCGACTCTGCTCAGTTTTGGCAGGCTGCGTCGACGATGCGAACGTCGACTTGGACCGGCGGTTGCACGGCGCTGTCCTGTTCAGCGGTCGCGGTCTTGAGGTGTCGGATGATTTTCACTAAAGCCATTTGTGAGAACCGCACCTTGCCGGCAACGCAAGCTGCTTCGAAGTCGTCTGCGTCATCGAAGCCGCTGAGTTTGAGAGCGGCCGCCTCCTGGATGCACAGCGCGAGCGTGCCCGCGCTGTCGCGAACCGTTACAGGGAACCAGAGGCGTTTGCCATCGTTGGTGCGGATGTTGGCACCTGCCAGCTGCGGGCGGCTCTTCCACGCGGGCCCAAGTTAACTGCCAGAACGTCTCCTTCGCGTGGTCGAGAACTTCCACGCCTGTAATCACGGTGTTCGCAATGGCCTTGAAGAGCGCGCGCATGGTCTCCGCGGCAACCTCCGTTGAAAAGTCCCTGGCGACCCATTCGTCAAATTTCTTGACGACAAAGCTGGCGGTGTCAGTGAGGCCAAGCAAGGTGGCGGCCTCTGCTGCAAGGTGACGCCCTTTGCCTGTTGTGGCACCTTCAACGATAATGGTGTTCTTGGTCGTGGTGAAGGAGAACTTCCCATCATCATCTTGAGCACCCTTGATACGGGAGACGCTCACAGATTGTGGAGCTCCCGCCGCGCCATTCAAGAACACCCAGGTCGGCGGCCCACCAGCGCCCGGGGTAGTCGCCTGGTCGGTGAAGACGGTCAGCGGCATCGTGCGAGCGCGGTCGCCGGACATGGAGCCGTCGATGATCTCTACGTTGAAGACGACGCGGTTGCCCGAGCCCGATCTGCCCGCGGGCCGGAGTGGGCTCACCGATTTGACCAGCGCCGTCACGTCGAAGAACTGCTGGTTGCTGAGGTGCGCACAACCTGCGATTGTCCCAGGGGGCTCAGGATAGCAATCCTTGGTGTCATTGCTGTTCAGCAAAAGACTGAAGCTTGTGTCGCTCAGGTTCACGACCGTCTGGATGGGGGCGTGAATGCGCTGTTTCTTCGCGTCGTTGACGATGGGAACTTTCGTCGTGATGAAGCCGAGACCGTCGGATAGCATGTCCTGAACCGCGCGGAACTTTTTCTCGGCCTGTCTGCTCCACCGCATCTAGCCGATGCAGTGCTCAGTGGGATCCTGTGGCGACACGAAGGTACAAAAGAGAGTCTTCCCAATTCTCGGTTTGCCATCCCACGTGTACTCGTAGGTATCGACCTGGGCTTGTTGGACAACGACAGCCCATGCCCCGAACATTGCGCTCCTTTTGTTCAGCTCACGCAGGGGCAGTGTGACAGGCCGTGGAGCACCGCAACTTGCCGCCGCAGGCTGGGCAGCAGGCAGCGCAGCACGAGCTGCTGCAGCCGCAGGCTGTTCAGCGGTGATTTTGGAAGTCGGGCCCTTCGGCGCCATGGCTGCGGCAGGAACGAGCCAGTGCGGGAGGGCGCTGCAACTGATTGCCCTTGGGCCAGGACAACAGCACTGACGCGGCATACATGGGAGGGCGCCGGTAAAAGCAGCGCCCCTACTTGAAGCATCCATGGTGGGGCAATGTAAAGGCAAGCTGGGCTAGGACGGACCAATGAATGAGTGGTCCCGTGTTGGGCAGCGGTGGCAATGGCAGCTATGCTGTTCTGTGCAATCGTACATGTATGTTGCATGGGCGCTGCTACTCACTAGTCGCGCCTTCTTGCCCTCTTGCGTTCTGCGCGGGTTCCTGGGCCCCTCGTCTCCATGGGCAACGAACAACTTTATATATACATATATATATATATATATATATACATAAATATGCATGTCTCCAACTCCTCCTCCCCCGAACCGCCGCCAAATGAAGGGCAATAGGCACGGGGCCGCGTCGCCGCCTACCCCGACAGCGCCTTCCCCAACAGCTGCTCCACCGCGGCGGCCGCTGACCACCCCTTTAAAAAGGGCCTTGCGGTGGCGCATTGGCCATGGGCTAGTAACCACCCCAACCTCCATGCATCAGGACGGTGGCCGCCGTCCTCATCCTTCTCCTCATCGTCGTAGTTGCCTTTGCTTTTGCGCTTGCCTGTGCTTTTGTTGTTGCCTTTGCTTGGTATGTTGTCATCTGCTATGCTATTCTATGCTATGTTATGCTATGCTATGCTGCGGTATGCGATGTCAGGCTATGGTATGCTATGATATGCTATGATACGCTATGCTATGCTGCGCTTTGCTGCGCTACGCAATGCTCTGCCATGCTAAGCTAAGCTACGCTAAGCCAAGCTAACGCTAAGCGAAGCTAAGATGAAGCTGGGCGGCTGCGCGTGGTGCGGGCTGCGTGCGGTGCGGGAGCCGACGTCAGCGCAGGGTGCGGTGCTGTGATTCGCAGAACCGGCGAGGGCCCATCCGCCTTCTGGAGGTCTCGAGGCAGCCAGAACGAGGTCATGAGCACCACTCACTCCGTCGAAGAACGCACCGACCTCGGAGTTCGTCTGAACGCTGCGCAGGCCGTGGGTCATCGCGAGGTCGCCGGGCTTGAACCTCAACGGGTCAGAGAAGACCAGGTGCAGTGATCCAGGCTATGCAGCGCTGGAGTTAACGGCGTAGCTGTCACAGACATTCCGCGCCAGGGCGGAGAGCTGAATGACCCCCGCGTTGAAGTTGCCGCCCCAGATGAAGCGATCCCCCGCGCATGCACTGTGGCAAGCAAGGAAGGCGCCCATGCGCCCGTCCACTGTCAGCGCTCGTTTTTTCGAGGCGGGCGCATGGCAATTGACGATGGACACGGGCCCCCTGTCGTCGCCAACGCGAGCGCGGAGATGCTGGAAGCGCCGGTCTGCCTGGCCCAGCACGAAGTCGCTGGCGAGCTTGCATTGCAGGACCTCCACGCGATTGGACTTCACGATCGTCGCGTAGTATCCGTCGACAAACACACGGACAGGTGGTCCCGCTCTGTGAGAAAGCAGTCCTCGGATCCAGGTATAGACGTCGACTCCTGGGATCTCGCCGAGCTCGCTCAGGCAAAGTATGTCCAGCGCATGAACTTTGAACGCCTTGGCAAGGTCTGATGCCGACCTGCGCTCTGTGCTCTCCCCCCCCCCCCCCCCACCAACCTCCGACAACTGGATTCCCACGTTGTAGAAACCCACAGTGAACTCGGTCGCGTTGGCAGGCAGCTCAGAGGAGGCAGGGCTGCGCAGCACCACTTGATGGCGAGGCGGGCTGCGCAGCACCACCTGGTGCCGAGGCGGGCCATGCAGCACCGCTGTCGGGGCCTCTCCCGGATGGCGACACCGACTCCGTCCGGGTTGCCGTGGGTTGCCCCGCGGCAACAAAGGTTGCGGCGGGCTGCGCAGCGCCGTCGGGGCTGCCCCCGGTGTCCGTCAAAGACGGTGTCCGACAGACCATCGGGTCCGCTCCCGGTGCGCCAGAGCAAGAAAGGCTGCGGCACGGGGATAACGAGATGCCCGATAACGATATGCCCGCAGCCGGAAGTCTGGACCCGGCCCCGGCTACACTCAAGCAGTGGCCGGCTAATCAAACCCTGGTCCCCCGGGCGCCCGCGTGGCCAGAATCTCGAGGCGACTCCAGCGCTGGCTACGAGAAGGGTCACCAGAGGGGGTCGAGAAGGTGCTACATGAACATCATGGGGGCCTCTTGGGGCCTCTTGGGGCTTCTTGGGGGCTGTCCGAGAGAGGCCTCTTGGGGCTTCTTGGGGCCTCTTAGGCTGTCTTGGGGCCATCTTGGGCTTCTTGGAACGCCTCGGAAGCTTTCTGGGCCTTCTCAGGCGCATCTCGGGGCTGTCTTGGAACGCATCTCGGCGCCCTCGCGCGGGGCGGGGGGGGGGGGGGGGGGGGGAATGGGGGGGGAGAGGTGGAGGAGGAAGAGGAGGAGGAGGAGGGGGGGGGAGGAGGAAGAGGAGAAGGAGGCTGTGCAGCACCGCGGACGGCTGCTCTCGTGCCCCTAGGAAGCGTGCGCAAGCGTTCAGCACTGCGCGGCGTTCTGTGACTGGTGCAGGTTGTGTAACACTGCACAGGGATCAGCGCCTCGGTGATCGGCTGCGGGCACGACGGCTGGTCCGCGCAGCAGGCTGTGCAGCGCTGCTTCGGAACAAATTCGCAAAGCTTGCCCGACTGCTGAACGAGAGCATTGTTCGCAATCTGTTCCCTTCCTGAAGCACTGCCGCACGCGAGCGCTGGCGCACCTCGACGACACTCCGTTTTTTTGTTGGATGGATCCTTCTGTTTGATATCCCACGATTTCAACGGAGGCTGCAGTTGCCCCCGTGCATCTCTAGAAATATCGAGTTCTAAGACACGCAAGGCTTCGCGAACGCGGCATATAGGATCCGCCCTCCGTTCTGTTTCAGGAAGCTGCTCCACCCAATGCCTAAGGTCTGCCAGAGTCTCGAAAGGTGCTGGGGGGGGCAGGTTGTTGAACGCTGGCATCAGCAGAGTCTGGAGAAAAAGGGTGTTCAGCACTGTTCGTTGATGCATGTGCAGCGCCACCTGGTGTCGACGCGGGCTGCGCAGCACCGCTGTCGAGGCTGGACTGCGCTGATTGGGACATCGGCGGCTGAGGTCGCCAGGCAGGGCCTCCGGGCCCCAGTTGCTGCGGGTCGGAGGCCACGATCTCATCGACCAGCGGCTGCTCGACGACGTCGACCAACCTGTCGGGGAGTCGAAGTCGGGGCGGGCGAAGCGGCGGAGCGCGCGGAGGGCGTCCACTTCGCTCGCGCACTCGTCGGTCTGCATCGCCACCAGGTCCCTCAACTCCTCGCGCGGCTGCCGACGGATGCGCCCCCTCCAGGTCTGGCTGTCCCGCAGCTCCTCCTCCCACATCGCCCTCCTGTATGAGCTCTCCAGCATGTCCAAAAAGCCCTGGAGGTAGTCGCAGTAAAAACTTGTCGTCTGGTGCAGGGCCGCTGTGCATTGTACTCGTGGCCCGAGGAATTGGCGAACTCGATCTGCTGCGCCGTTCTGCTGAAGCACGCCCTGCAGGCTGAGCATAGACGCCGAGGAAGTCGCGCCCAGAAGAAGAAGCAGACAGTCGGCTGCGCGGAGGGCCCGCGAGGCACAAGTGGGCGGCGGCAGCCCGCTCACAGGGTGCCCGTAGGTCTCGGCAAGCTCGAGCACAGACAGCTACAAGTACAATGGGGATCCTCTTGTAGCGCTCTTGAGGCTTCCTGGAGGCCTCTCAGGCTGTCTTGAAGCCATCTTAGGCTTCTGGGAACGCTCTCGGGCCGTCTGGGAACGGTCTTGGGCCGTCTTTGAGGAGGGAGGGAGGAGGGGGGGAGGGAGGAAGGAGGAGGCAGTGCAGCATCGCGGATTCGCACTGGCGCGAGCAAACGGCCGCTCTCCTGGCCCTAAGAAGCGCGTGCAAGCGGGGAGCAACTCCATCTACATCATGACCAGACTGCACGTGGGTCCACCTGCTGGATGCTAACGAGGGGCGGCTAGCGAGACAGCACGGGCTGTGCAGCACCGTGGCTACGCAGCCCTGCCGTGCATATGCAGCACCGTGGATCTCCCTCGTCAAATTCACGGCAGTGGTGGATAAATCAAAACCGCTCCAGCCACAAATTTGCATTGCACAGTCCGCCCCCGCCTCCTGCATCATGAACTGATAGAGACCCGACGCTGGTGAGCAACAGGCCTACATCAGGTTGACACGAGCAGCCCCGGTGAGGAACGTCCAGGCTGGCGTCGCACTCTGGTCCAGGGACCCCGACAGCCAGGTCGCCTGGGAGTCAGGCTGTGCAGCTCTGCTCCGCGACCTTCTGCACGCTGGTCGCCCAGGCGTTCACCGCCACTTTCACGTCGCCCAGAAGGTCGATGATCACATCCTCCTTGGACTTCGAGGTCGCGTCATCTCGCTGGCGCCCTCCGTCAAGGAGCGCTCCGGCGACTGCTCCTTGACCAGCAGCCACGGGTCCTCCGACTTCTCGCCCCTCTCCGCCTTAACCTTCGGCTGCGGGAGCTCGAGCTTCGACTGGTTCATCATGTCCTCGGCCTTGATGCCCTGCGTGATCATCCAGTGCGTGAGGCGCTTGTAGCGGTAGCTGTTCAGGCTGAGCAGCCACCCGGCGTACTCGCGCTCCTGCTCGATCGGGGTTTGGAGCGTCTTGCCCCGGTGCCTCCCGAACGGCATGAGATCGGTCGGCTTGACCATGACCTGGTTGGCCTCGACCTTCTCCGCGATGAGGATCTGGAGGTCGCCTCGGGTCTCCTTGCCGTGGAGCACGCACCCCATGGTAGTCGCGTCCCGGACAAGCTCGGCGTGCTTCTTGTGCCGGACAGGCGCACCAACGACAGGCATGGCCTGGTAGATCTGCCTGAGCCTGGCCCGGAGCATCTCCACCGTCATGTTGCAGCCGTCCTCGTCCAATTGCATCAGCTCCGACAGCAGGTCGGCCTTGCGCATGTTGGATGTGGCCGGGTGCCTGGACATCGAGATCCTCGCCCATGCACTGAGAAAGCTCTGCTTGGCCTCGAGACGTTTGAGCCGCAGCGCTATGGTGTGGGAGTGTTCGGGAAAATAGCATAGCATTAGCATAGCACAACATAGCATACCGTTGGGCCCCCCGGGTCCTCTGTTCCTGCTGAAGCCTCGGCTCCGGTCACGGACGATGAGGGAGCTGGGGCCACCCGAGTCCAGTAGGGGCCCCGCTAGCACCGAGTAGTGAGGTTCCTCCAGAGCCACTCCGAGTGCAGTAGTGGCCCCGCTAGCACGAGTAAAGCTCCAAGACGACCCCGAGGATGCTACCTGTGAGCCCGTAGGTGCCCTCTGAGTTCCCGTAGGTGCTCTCTGAGTCTCCGACGTGGTCCTCTGAGATCCTGTAGGTGTTTTCTGGGAAGGTGCCTGCAAGGAGCTCGACGCCATCAACGACGTAGGTGATTGAGAGGGGAGAGGAGAGATGTATGGCGCAACCGACTGCCGCGCTCCCTCGCCTGCCTCGGGCTCCGCAGGCCTGTCCGCTAAAGCTGCCACGCCTGGACTCAAGATGCAGTCCGCCGGCCGCTCAGCCAGGACTCAGTCGCCCACGAAGTCGCACCAAGTCGCCCACCAAGTCGCACGTCAAGTCGATCAGGAGGTCGATCAGGGGTGTGTCGCTCAAAAGAGTTCTGGCAGAAGGCCGTAGGCACGTGCGGTCTCTCGTGCCAGGTCCCTCGTGCCAAGCTCTCAAATGGTGGTCGGTAGAGCTGGTCGGTCGAGGCGTCGGTAGAGCTGTCAGTAGAGCTGGTCAGGTGGTGGTGGTGGTGGGTTGTAGTCGGTAGAGCTGTCGGTAAAGCTGGTCAGGTGGTGGTCGGCAGCGCTGGTCGAGTGGTCAATGGAGCTGGTCAAATGGCGGTCATTGAAGCTGGTAGAGCTGTCGGTAGAGCTGGTAGTGTGGTCAGTGGAGCTGGTCGAGTGGTGGTCGGTAGAGCTGGTCAGTAGCGCTCAGGTGAAGGTGGTCAGGTGTAGCTGGTAAGTGGTTGTGGGTAGAGCTGGTCAGTAGAGCTATCGGTAAAGCTGTCAGCAGAGCTGGTCAGGTGGTGGTCGGTAGAGCTGGCCAAGTGGTGGTCGATAGGGCTGTCGGTGGAGCTGGTCAGGTGGTGGTCAGTAGAGCTAGTCGAGTGGTCGGTATAGCTGGTCAGGTGGTGGTCGGTGGAACTGGTAGAGCTGTCGGTATGGCTGGTCGAGTGGTCAGTGGGGCTGGTCAGGTGGGTGTCAGTTGAGCTGGCCGGGTGGAGGCTGGTGTGGTTTTCAGGTGGTGTCGGTGGAGCTGGTCAAGTGGTGGTAGGTAGAGCTAGTCAAGTGGTGGCTCAAAAGAGTTCTGGCAGAAGTCCGTAGGCACGTGCGGCATCTCGTGCCAGGTCCCTCGTCGCCTCGACTTTTTCGCGGAACAGTCGATCGAAGTTGGCGACGAGATCCCCGGGCGGACGCTGTTCTATGATGTCACGGATCTGCTTCGTCAAATTCACGGACTTGAGGGTAGCAAGTGAGCGAGGCCGTGAGAGCATGACGTAGACAATCAGCCATCGGATGGTGTCGGTGCATCGTTGCGGGAAGAACCAATCGGCCACCAGACCGGGATCTGCCGTGGTGCCCTGCATCGAGTAAAGCGGGACGGCCGCCGCCGGCATCAGCGGTATCTGTGTCCGTGAGATTATGACGTATCTGGCCTTCTCCGTTGGTGAGAAGAAATGTTTGAACGTACGCGGCTTAGGCCGGATGGCCATGACGCCAGGCTGTGCAGCACTGGTGCAGCGAGCGCACGTTGAGCTGCGCTCGGGATGTTCCGGACACACTGCTGGTGGCAAGAGCTGGATGTCGCACTCATCCAGCTTCACATAAAATAGCCTTCGGCATGAGAGGACATGCGAATTCCGCGGCGTGCGAGACGGATGGTGACCGAAGCCTGCTTTTCGTTGTGAGGTCGGCGGGGCCCGGGTCAAAACCGACAGCGGTGCCCTCGACGTCCTGCGCAGCAAAAGGTTTCTGGATGGTGGTCGTGAGCCGTACTCGCACATCGTAATGGAAGAGCACCACCGGTGGGAGGCGTCTCGTTTTCTGGATGCTGGGTATCCGAAGTAAGTCCTCGTAGAACTGCGCCGTGTTCGTCTCTGGTATGGTGGCCTTGGCTTGGTCCACGGCTTGCACGTAAAATAGAGTCTGCTGGGCCTCACGGGCGGACTGCTGTGCGAGCATGAACGCGGCCATGCTGATGACGCTCCAGCAGTAGCAGGAGTGGTACCAGGACGCTGGGATGTCAGGCTGTTCAGCACTGACTTCGGTGTCCTTGAGGGCCTGCCACTGTTGCTCCATGAGGGCGCTGCCGCCAGGCGCCCACATGGTGTTCAGAATGTCGATGAGTGTCTCGTCGGTGAAGCGCACGGCCTGTTGGAATTCGAACGCCAAATCCGCGTCGCGGAAAATATTGGCCCCGACTTTGTGCTCGTCCGTAGTGCCCTCGAGCGGTGCCAGCATGCTGGACGAGGCTGGGACTGGCGGTAGCTACAAGTGGTCGCCGGAGTAGACCACCACAGGTAAGCGTCCCCACCGCTCCTGAGGCTTGTAGTGCACGTTTTTGTTCAAGCCGTATTTTGCCTCGCGAGCGTGCGTGGTTCGTAGAGCTCCGGCGCGGTTGAGCTCGCCTAATAGTTGTGAGTGCTCGTCGACGCACAAGGCGCCTGCATCGACGTGGGCGACGGCAAGCTTTTGGCGAGTCTGCACGTTCAAGGCCAACGCGTGTGTTCGCGTGGAGCTCTCGGGCGTCAGCCCCTGGCCAGAGCGCGCGGCGGGGCCGCCAATGAGTCGAGCGGGTGCGTTCGAAGGGGCCCGTCGTAAGACCCGACCCCCTCGGGGTGGAAGAACGTCTCGAGTAAGGGCAGCAGGATCTCGGCGCTCAAAGTCGTCTTGCCGCAGCCACCCCCGCCGTCCATGATCGTGGTCATCGGGGCGCGAGCTGGATGGAGCCGCGGTTCGCTCGGATCGGGGCGCCCGAGGAAGGCCTGCTCCAGGCGGGTCGCGAAGAGGGCAATGCACTGGAGCTGCTCTTCGTTGAGTTTGTAGGGCCGCGTCGGCGTGGAGCGTCGCTCCTGGCAGCGTCGAACAAGCATATTGGCCACATGTGCCGGGCCTTGTAAAGCGTCGGTCAAGTCAATCCACTCACACCCCAGTCGTTGCTGCTGCAGGTTGTGCAACGCTGCCTCCGGAATGATGGGGTCGATGTCGTCGACGGGCATGTCGCCCTGCATGGTGGCGGTGCGTTTCAGGTGTTTCATGATGGCGTCTTGCATGTCGAGTGCGGCGGTGAGCCCGGCAAGGGGAGAGCCATAGCTTCTCTGGACCTGCGCAAATGCCACGTCGTTCTCTGGCGACGGGCTGCGCAGCACCGCGTGGCAAAGGTCGTCGAAGGTATTCATCTGTTTCAGCTCCTGGCTCTTTCGACCGGGTCTCTTGGCCGCTTCAAATTCTTTGGCTCGTGTCAAGATGCCGGTCAACTGCTTCACGTTCAGGGCTCCGAAAAGTGGTGGGGAGCGTTCTGCGAGGTCGACCGCCTCGTTCTCGGGCTCGTCCGGGTCGACGCCCTCGCCCCCATGGAACTCCGTCTCGACGCCGTGTGGCGTGTCCGTCGGTGGTGCCTCGACGAGTTCGTCCTCGGCGTGCCCCCTGCAGCCCGTCGTAAGTTTCGCGGTGCGTGCAATGGTGAGGCCGTCAAGGTGCTGGATGACGCTCCGTAGGTGGTAGGCAGAGAACTCTGCCACGGTGAATTGGTGCTCGTGGTGGAGGGGCGCGTTTGAAAAGGCGAGAATGCGGGGTGCGAAACATGGCAAAGCACGGCCGCATTGCTGGCTCCACCACTGAGAGAAGCAGCACGAGAGCTCGAGCGGAGGAGCACTCCCGGTGCCAGGACTGCGGGCACGGCACAGAGTCGTGTCTGCAAGGACGGGAATGCGTTTAGCAGCGTTGCTCTTTTCCTCCACTCGTACTGCCAAGAGCTCAATCTCTGCCCGCCGGGCCTTCCACTGCTGCCGGCAATTGAACGTGGCGGGGTCCGTCGGTGGAAAGAAGGCTGGTCGATGCAGCAAGGGGTCGTTGCAGCGGCTCTGTCCAGGGCAAGTAAGCAAAGTGCCCATAAGTGTCTTGTACATTGCGTTGTCCTCGCCGTTGTTCATGTCTGGTGGTGCGCAGCGGAGGCCTTCCAGCATCGGTAGTGTGTGGTGGCCTTGTGTTTTGAGTTTTTTCCCGATGCGATTTGGCGAGCTCGCAGTGGTCGTCGAAGGCAAAAACGTGCTCGACCCGTTCGGTGCCCGCGAGCCGGGCCTTGACAGGTCGTGGGCTGCGAAAAACGCGTGTCGCGCAGGCGTGTAAGTCGAGATCAGCGAGGAAGGGGCCGCGATGCAGCCAGTCGTCATAAACACTCGTGGTGTCCGTGGGTGTTGTGCTCTGGATCGTGTCCGCCGCTTCGTCGTCGGGGGCATCTGCCGCTCTGTCGTCGGGGGCCTCTGCCGCTGCGTCGCGTTGGTCGGGGGCCTCTGTCGCTTCGTCGTCGGGGGCCTCTGCCGCGGACCCGCCCGGAACGACTTTGTCCTCGCCCGCCGCAACTGCAGGCTGTGCAACACTAGTTGAGGAAGCCGCAGCGGTGAAGGCGAGGACGTCCACCGCACGGGCAGCGTCGCGTGAAAGATCCGGTGCGCCCAGCAGAATCACGTCGCCGCGTTGGAGGAGCCGCCGACGCTCCTGCAGCATGTGCATCGGTCTGCTCAAGAAGACCGCGACGGGCGCGTGAGTCTTCCGTGCGAGAGCACCGGTGGTGATGTAGCATGCGAGTTCGCACGCGGAGCACCAGGAACATCGGTTTGCAGCCGTCGCAATCCGTAGTGTCGTCTTGCGTGCACGATCCTCGACGGATGGCTTGGTGTCCGCCGCATCGTCTTCCTCATCGAGGCGCCGGAGGCCAACAGCGATGTGTGTCAGCACACCTTGTAGCTGTTCCATGGTTTGCCTTGGTATTTCGTGATGTGAAAAATCACACTTGTGAGCGGCTTGATGCATCGCCACCAGGGAATGGAAGCACCGACGCAGCAGCGGTGCATCGGGCAGCTGCAACCGCACGCCGTACATCGCGAGGGCAAGCTTCGGATCCGTCTGTGGAACAAGCGGACCCTCGGTCGAGCTCGCGAAGAACTGCTCCGGATCCAAGGTGCGGGGCATGAATTGGAAGTCGATGTTGCAACGGCCCCGCGCTTGACCCACGTCGGTCGTTGCCGATCGGAAGGGTGCGTGTCGAACAACGACGACCTTGCCGAACTCGTTGCGATCGCTGGCGTTGGCAACGCAGGCGGTCTCGACTAGTTTCTTGCCCCTGCGGCGGATGCGTTTCACACCGTTTTGAAGGGAGTCGGAGAGAAATGTCACGATGTGCAAAAAAAAGAGAAACGACATGCGACGACGCGGCCCCTTCGCAACGCCTCCTCGGCGGCCTCCTTGCACTTCTTCTGAACGCACTTGATACAAGTGCTCGTGCAATCGTGATCGTGGTTGAGCTGGTGGGGTGCGCGGAAATCACGGCCGAAGCTCAAAGCGAACCTGTTTGCATCTGTGATCAGATCCTGGAAGCCAGCAGGCTGTCCAGCTCTGCCTTCCTCATCTGGGGGCGGAGCGATAGGCTGTTCAGCACTGCCACGTTCACTTGGTGGATGCAGGAGGCCCGCGATGTGGTCGCTCTCCTCGTCGGCATACCAGCTCAATGCCGTGGTCGGCACCTCCACCCGCTGAGTGTCGCTCGTCATACCAACCTCATCCAAGGGAGTGACGTTGTAAGCACTTTGCGGAAGACGATACGTGGGCATGAGGCTCTGGTGACAGCCTTGCAAAGAGACCTGTGAGTGGCCCTCATCCTCACCCGGACGTGGTGTTCCCGGACGTGGTGGCCGGGGAGCTCCTGAGGTGTGGTCTCCAGGAGCTGTCTGTGAGTACCGTCCAGCTCTAAGCCGCCGTCGAGCCGCGCCTGAAGCTGTTGCTCCCTGGTCAATTTCTCAGCCGGCACGATTTGCCCCATCTGGGTGGCGGGCAGGGTCGAGGCCTCGTACTGCAACGACTCAGCGCAACTGATCAAGGCTTGCTGGAGGTCTTGAAGCAGGCTGCGCAGCACTGTCGGATCTTGCCCCCGGAAGAGTCGCACGACGTCGTGGTCGCGGGTGGCCGGGATCTTGTAGACTTTGCGGTGGCCATGCTGAAAGCCACGGGCTTGAGACTCGAAGGGCTCCAGTTCCGCGATGCCGAAGCCACCAAGGGCGGGCGTGCAAGTGCAAGGGAATGGGTCTTCTTGGAAGGTGTGCCTGAGAACGCGTTGCACGTGGTGCCTGCCAATGAAGGAGCCGTCGATCCCAATAAAGTGAACGACCACGATGCCGTCCATGAGCTTGAAGAACTGAACCTGTGCCCGCGGGGACTCCGCAACGAATTGCTGCATGCGGTGCAGCGATGGCATGTCAGGCCGTTCAGCACTGAGACCGCGCGCGACGTCGCCCATGACCTCTTCGCCGCTGCAAAGCCTGAAAAGAAGTGGTGCGTAGTTGTCGGCGAATTTGAACGTGGCAAAGACTGTAACGGAACCAAGCGCCATGTTCTATGGCCTTCATGTCGTAGGTTGCGTCTGTAGCCGTCTGTCAAAGGTGCGTCTTTCGTGCTGATGAGCACCTGTCGTAAGGCAGTGGCGAGTTCTTTGGAGACACGGTCGTCTCGTGCGAGTGCCTCGGTGTTCGCACCCCCTAAAGCCTCATGGGCGAGGGCTTGGGCGCAATGTGCTGAAGTGGCGTTCGCAATGAGCCGCACATCCCTCTGGAAGCCTTTTCGTCTGACGGCGGCGCGCGCGCCCCTGAAGAGAGAAAGGCGGCGCAAGGTGTCGCCGAAGACGCAGTCGTGTTCCGGTGTGCCGAACCTGCTCTTGCGCCTTGCCCGGCACGGTGCCGGATACTATTCGAGATGGTACTCGAGCTCCTCTCGGCGCAGAGGGCGGCAAAGAGCTGCTCAAAGGTGATCCCACGTGGTCGCTGCGAATATTTCGGGAGGCTGTCGCCGAACAACCACTCGGAAAAAACACTCACGTCGTCGGGTCGAACGTGCTCAAAGGCTTCTGCGAGGGCACGAAGAGGGCCTTGTCGGACTCGGCAGCGTTGTCTAGGAGAGCGAGATTCCTCTCCCAATTGTGGGTGTTCAGCTGCCGGGCGGCCTCTCAAGTCCACGACGGCCCTGAGGCACTGCTCCTCCGCAGCGGCTCTGGCCGTGGCCACGGAAGCAGGCTGTGTAGCACTGCCGTCGCTCTGTCCGCTCGGATTCCCGCTGCCGGAGGAACTGGGGGAGGCGACTAACTCCCGCGCGTGTTCCAAGTTGCGCTTAAAGGCGGCCGCGTGCTGCATGAACGCGGGCACGGCCTTAGGGTCCATGCCTATTGGGGTTTCGAACTGGTCGAGGTGCTCCACGTTCTGCGAGGCAGCGCTGGGCTGTGCAGCGCCAGCTGGAACAGCCCCCCCTGACACTGTCGCAGTGTGCTCGCCGTCGTCGCTCTCAGAAAGCTCGTCGGAGGCATCGTCCACGGGGCGGGCCGCGCCCAAAGAATCGCGGACGGTGCCCGGCCCTGAGCGCGTCGCGCTGCAACGCTCGACCTCAGGCATCTGGACGGCGCAGTCCAGGAATTGCTGTGGCACGCCGTTGGGCGGGAGGGCATTCACGGCGGCCTGGTCCACGGGAATCTCGGCGAAGATGGCGTTGACCCGGGCACGCTCCGCAGCGAGGGCCTTGTAGGCTTCGCGCTGCACGGTGAGGAGCTGACACTTGCGCAAGTCGTCAGTGTCCTGGCCAAAAATCACAACGAAACTGTCCTTCAAGTGCGTGGAGGACGGTGGTAGTGCCTCCGCGAGTGTGGCCGAAGCTTGCGAGATCAGGATGCGGTTGCCAGTGAATCCTGACAGCAGCGTCTCTTTTTGGCCCTTGCCCAGCAAGAGTTTGCGGAAACATGCTCTGCCAAGGCCCAGCAACATCCGTAGACCCAGGGGTGCGCTCTGAAGGGCAGTGCGCCCCCGACCAGGCCAAAGATCGCCTGCGAGGGCAAACTCTGGCATTTTGATGAACTTCTCTTCGGTGCACAAACAAACAGCACAAACGTGGCAAATGTGCGCTGTCTGGTGAAGATCGCCGATCCCAGCGCACATCGGTGCCCCGACATCGCGGGCTGCAGGCTGTTCAGCGCTGCCCTGCTGGCCCCTTTGGTGCACAGGCTGTGCAGCACTGCTGGGGCGACCCTGTCGGCTGTCGGGTAGGAGCGGCGTGCGTCGGGCGCGCAGCAGCCGCGCCATGGAGTGGTCTGAAGGGCGCAGCAGAGAAGAGGTGAGGAGCTCGGCCTTCGGGATCAACGGCCATCGCTCCATGCACCCGTCCGTGGACAAGTGCCCGTTGATTTTGTCACGGTCCGCGAAGCAAAGGGCGTCGCCGCAAGTGAGGAACGTCGAGGTTCCGCTGTCTGTGTGCAGGAGCTGCGTGATAGTCCGTTGTTCGGTGGCCCCCCGCCAAAGATGCACGGGATAACGGTTATCAAGCCAATCTTTCCGTGCACAAGCGACGCAGGCCACCTCGCACCTCGCCTTTGCCACGGCGATGGCCTCTGGGTGGTTCCAATGGAGCGAGAAGGCACCAGGCACCGAGAACGTCAAGTGGAAGGTGGCGGACTGCAAGATGTGCCTTTTGAGCCAGGGCAACAAGGGCTTGAAACTGTCCTGTTGTGCTCGCCACAAGGGCCTCTTGCGGTACTCACCGCAACCGCCGCGGGCGTCGCAACAGTGCTTGCAGGAGGCGCCGTTGTGCGCGAACCCTTCGCCGCAAATCCAGCACATCACCGGATGCGAGGCCACGGGAAGCATGAGGTCCGGTGACCCTACAGGCTGTGCAGCACTGGCTGCGAGGCGGGCGCAGTGGGCCGGAAGTCGGTTCGCCGCGAGTTCCACATCCTCACCGCACGCGTCCAGGGGCGTGTACCGCTTGCCACAGTCGCCCTTGAAGTTGGCGACAAGCCGCGGGATAGGCCCACAGCGTAGAATGGATGCCTTTGGAGGCTTCTGCGAAGTGAGCAAGAGGCGAAATAAGATGCACGTCGCTAAAGTGTGTTTTGAGAGTGGTGTGGCCGTGATCCCGCGTTGCTGAGCGTGCAAGAAGAAATCCTCCGTGGCGGCGTTGAAGAGCTCAGCGAAGTGGTTCGCGTCGCGACGGCGTGCCTCCGGGATCTTCAGGGCCTTCAGCAGCCAGTCCTGCTCCAAGTGCTGTGCGCAAGGATATTTGTATTACTGCTGCAGCACCTCGCAGACCTCAGTGACGGTAGGGGTGGAATGTCGCTGCTCTGAGGCTGTCTGTGCATAGGACCTGCGGCGCTCTGTGATGACGTCCTGCAGGGCCGTGGCCGTGCTGTGTGTGCCCAGTAGCACGTGAAAAGGAACGTCTGTTAGCTCCAATGCTGCCAGCATTTTCAAAGAGCACCACGCGTGGGCAATGAAGAGCTGCTCGTTCGGGTTGTGGCGTCCGAACGGTGCGGTGGGCAGCGTCTCGGCCTCGTTGAGGCGTGCGTGGAGCTCCTGTACGGCGCGGGGTGGTGCGTGCTCTGTTGTAGCGGTGGCCCCGTGGAGCTTCGTCAAGAACGGGAAAGCTTCCTCGTTCAATGGCTCTCGTGTGACGAGGTGCGTTTGGATTGCGGAGACAAGGGGCCGGCATGCAACGGCAGTGACCGTTTTGTAATCACGGCAGCGGCCTTTGCACGGTTGTCCCCCGAGCCGAAGCGTGCCACAATGTATGTTGTAGAGAGCAAGGATCTCTGCTGATTCGAGTGTCCTTTTACTGGCAGGTATGCCTTGCAACTGATTCGCCTGTCTAAGCAACTTCGCCAGTGCTTCGCTGCCGTCCTCGTCTGCAACCGTCTGGCGTTTGAGTCGTCTGAGTTCGTGCGCCTTTTGGACCATGGCTCGTCGTAGCTCTGCAAGATCATCGGCGCTCGAGCCATACTGAAGGATGCTGCGTTGGATGTGTTCGGGTCGTGCTGCACGTGGAGGCGGTGGCACTGCTGCTGCTGGTGCAGTTGTTGCTGCACCAGGTTGCGCGGTACTGCTATTGGTGACGACACCTCCCTGCAAGCTGCTGATCCCTGCGGCGATGGCTGTAAGCCGCTGCGGCTTCGCCGGCGGCCCAGGCTGCGCAGCGCCGGCGCTGCTCTCCGTGCGACCAGGCAACGTCGAGCTAGAACTCGCCGCTGCCCCTGCTTGCTGGCTGCCGGGCTGTGAGGCACCGGCAGAACTGTCCGAGTTTCGCGGGGGGGTGGCCGCAGGATGTTCACGATCGAAGTGCCTCGCTGCCGCTTGGTGGGTCTGCCAGGCCGCGCAGCACTGACGCTGTCCAAAGGACGTTTACCTGTGCACCCAGCGACAGCATGCTGAGGAGCACTGCTCGCGGCTCCTGCAAGTGCTGCAGGCTGTTCAGCATTGCTTGCACTTGGTTCAACACTGCTTGCGCCTCCTGCAAGAGCTGCAGGCTGATCAGAAACTGCTTGCGGGGGCTCCGCCTCCTCCCGCCTCCCTCCTCCTTCCTCCTCCGCCTCCTCCGCCTCCTCCGCCTCCTCCGCCTCCTCCGCCTCCTCCGCCTCCTCCGGCTCCTCCGGCTCCTCCGGCTCCTCCGGCTCCTCCGGCTCCTCCGGCTCCTCCGGCCTTTCCGGCTCCTCCGGCTCCTCCGGCTCCTCCGGCTCCTCCGGCTCCTCTGGCTCCTCCGGCTCCTCCGGCTCCTCCGGCTCCTCCGGCTCCTCCGGCTCCTCCGGCTCCTCCGCCTCCTCCGCTTCCTCCCTCCTCCCTCCTCCCTCCTCCCTCCTCCCCCCTCCCTCCTCCCTCCTCCCAGCCGCGGAGCGGGGGCCCCTGGAGCGCACGTCTGCGGCAGAGGCGCCGCCCCAGTCAAAGGGGCATCTGCGGCCTCCCATCGGAGGCCCCTCGGAGTCCGGCGGGGGGGGCCCTTCCCGGGGGCCGCTTCCCGGGGGCTTCCCCGGAGGCCTCCAGGGGTCTCTTTGGGGGCCTCGTTGGCCCTCTTCTGGGCCTCCCTGGGGCCTCCCTGGGGCCCGTTGGGGGCCCGTTGGGGGCCTGTTGGCGGCCTCGGGGGTCATCTTTGGGCGGAGGGATGGAAATTCTAGCTCGGGTTCTCCTCTCTTGGGCCCATCCTGGGGCCCTCTTGGGGCGTCTCCGGGGCTTCTTGATCCGTCATGCGGTCCTCTTGGGCCGTCTAGGGGCCCTCTTGGGGGCCTCTTGGGCAGTCTTGGGGCGATTTGTCTGGAGACCTCTTGGGTCGTCCTGGACCGTGTTGAAACAAAAAAAGGTGAATCTACTTAAAATGATTTGTTATATCGAAAATTGAGGGTTTGTGGACTATCGGGGCTCTCTGGAGGTCCTCTAGGAGCGGTCTTGAAGCGTCGTGGACGCCACCCTCTGAAGCCGCCTTGACGGCGGTCTGGGATCGATCAAGGAAAAATGCCTGGGATGTGGGCCAGAGACCTCGTAGACGAATCTAGGGGTAGCTTTGGAAGTCTTTCGGAGCCCGGTTTGGTGTCTCTTGGGGTCTCCTGGGGGCTTCCCGGGGGCCTCCTGGGGTCTCTTGGGGGCCTCTTTGTGACTCTTTTGGGCCTCCCTGGGGCCTCTTGGGGCCTGTTCGAGGCCTGTTGGCGGCCTCGGGGGTCATCTTTGGGCGGAGGGATGGAAATTTTAGCTCGGGTTCCCCTCTCAGGCCCATCTGGGGGCGTCTCCGGGGCTTCTTGGTCCGTCTCGCGGCCCTCTTGGGCCGTCCATGGGCCCTCTTGGGGGCCTCTTGGGCAACCCCTGGGCGGTTTGGGAGATGTCTTGGACCGTCCTGGACCGTGTTGCAACCAAACAAAGAAATTGCTTGACGGAAATGGGACGCTTGTTGCTTCTCGGAGCCTTCTCTGGGGTCCTCTTTGGAGCGGTCTTGAGGCGTCGTGGACGCCTCTTGGTCCGTTTGAGAAGCACCTTGGGCCGACGGAGACCCCTGGAAGGCGTCGCGGGGGCGACTCAGGGCCGATGTGGCCGCCGCAGCGGCAGTCTGGTGGCTCTCAGAAGCGACGGTGGGCGCCCCACAGGCAGGCAGGCCTCCCGGTTCTTCCTCCATTTCCGGTCGGGGTCCCGGCCCCAGGCCCCCCGGGCCCAGTCCCCCCTTAAATGTTTTGTATGTGTGTGTGTATGTATGTATGTATGTATGTATGTATGTATGTATGTATGTATGCATGCATGCATGCATGCATGCATGCATGCATGCATGCATGGATGGATGGATGGATGGATGGATGGATGGATGGATGGATGGATGGATGTGTGTATGTATGTATGTACGTATGCATGCATGCATGCATGCATGCATGCATGTATGTATGTACGTACGTACGTACGTACGTACGTACGTACGTGTTTATGTATGTATGTATGTATGTATGTATGTATGTATGTATGTATGTATGTACGTATCTATGTATGATGGATGGATGGATGGATGGATGGATGGATGGATGGATGGATGTATGGATGTATGGATGGATGGACGGATGTGTGTATGTATGTATGTATGTATGTATGTATGTATGTATGTATGTATGTATGTATGTATGTGTGTATGAATGTGGGCATGTATGTGTGTATGTATGTATGCATGCATGCGTGCATGCATGTATGCATGTATATATGTATGTATGTATGTATGTATGTATGTATGTACGTACGTATGTATGTATGTATGTATGTATGTATGTATGTATGTATGTATGAATGTGTGTATGTGTGTATGTATGTATGTATGTATGTGTGTATGTATGTATGTATGCATGCATGCATGTATGTATGTATGTATGTATGTGTGTGTGTGTGTCTGTATGTATGTATGTATGTATGTATGTATGTATGTATGTATGTATGTATGTATGTATGTATGTATGTATGTATGTATGTATGTATGTATGCGTGGTTGCATGCATGCATGCATGCATACATGCATGCATGTATGTATATATGGATGTCGTGACTTTTTCACAACGTTGACCCCCAGAGGTCTGGACCCCTTCACCGGGCCCGGTTTTTCATCCTGAGTCGTTTTTTGACGGTCCCGAGGCCTGGGAAGGGCCCCCAGAGGCCGAAAATAGCAAAAAACCTCCCGTCGTGATTTTTCCACAGCGCGAGGAGGTCTAGGGCGTGGGGAGGATCGCCCCGCGCTGCCGCGCGCGCCGCTGCCTGCGCCGTCCTGCCTCTCGGGGGCCCGCAGGGCTCTGGGGGGCCCGCAGGACGCCCCCGCGGCCGACCTGGCCGGTGCCGCTTCTTCGGCGCGAGGAGGAGGAGGGGGAGGAGGAGGAGGAGGAGGAGGAGGAGGAGGAGGAGGAGGAGGAGGAGGAGGAGGAGGAGGAGCTCAGTCTGGCCTTCCCTGGGCGCGGCTTCGCACGCCACGTCCGCGCGTTCTCCTCGGCCTGGCCCAGCTTCGGTGTCGCCCCGCACTGCCCTCACGGCGTTTTGCTGCGCCTGGTCTGGGCGCGGCTTCGCCCGAGACGTCCTTGCGATCTGCCTGGTCTGGCCTGGCTTGGGCGCGGTTTCGCCAGAGCCGTCTTCACAACTTGCTTGGTCCTTCATCATTCGGGCTGCGCTTCGCGTGATGCCAACTATGTGGCGTCCTCGCTCCCATGCGACCGGCCGCAAGCCGGCGTTTGCCCGTGGACCGGGGGCGCGCAAACATGGATTAGCGATCCATGGATTTGGCGCGCGGTCGCCAAATCCATGGATCGGGGGAGGTGCCCTAACGGGACCCGTCGCTGATCCATGCCCCCTCGATCCACGTCTGCGAGCGCCCGAGTGGACCGGCGTCGGAAACAAACTCTCCCGATCGCGGGCCGCCCCTGGCGGAGGAGGAGGAGGAGGAAGAGGAGGAGGAGGAGGAGGAGGAGGAGGAGGAGGAGGGGGAGGGGGGAGGAGGAGGAGGAGGAGGGAGGAGGAGGAGGAGGAGGAGAGAGGGCGCGGGGCGAGGTTGCCCAGAAGTGCGCGGCCTCGCGTCGAGTCAGCCTCCGCGGCGCGTCGAGGGGCCGCCGGCGGCGAGCTCCCCAGTTCCGAGCAGGAGGAGGAGGAGGAGGAGGAGGAGGAGGAGGAGGAGAAGAAGAGGAGGAGGAGGAGTAGGAGGAGGAGGAGGAGGAGGAGGGAAACCCGCCAAACTCCGTGGACAGCCGCTCCGCGCGGCCACGGAGGGGCGTCTCCTCCCCCCTGCCAGCTGGCGGGCTGGATTCCGCGGCCCCGTCGCTGCCGCCACGTCCTGCGGCAGGCGCGGGGGGGTGGCGGGCGCCTCCCTGACCCACTCCTCGCCCCTCATCCTCCCTCTCCAAACTCCTTTACCCCCTCACTCCTCCCCCCCTCCTCACTCCTCCCTCCCTCCGCCCCCCCTCCCCCCATCCTCCCTCCCCCACCCTCCTCCTCCTCCCCCCCCCTTCCTCCTCCTCCATCTCCTCCCTCGCCCTCCTCCCCCTTCCCTCTCCATTCCTCCTGCTGCCTCTCCTCCTCCTCCTCCTTCC